AGCGAGCCACGTCCTACCAGATGCCCCTGGTCCAGTGTTCATCCAGCAGCCAGCCATCAGATTCCAGCCAAAGGGATGACACAGACAGGCCTTCGGTGCACCACAACGACTGCACGGGATGGCACAGAGGCGGCCAGAAACGTGCCACGCTGGCCATCGCCGCGTTCGTTACTGCTCAACTTCTATTCTGGCAAAGCTAGAGAGCAGGTTGAGTATTTTATCCACAAAGACACAAAAGAGGAGGAGTGTGGATTTATCAGAGACCCAGAGGGGGTCACAGAGACTGCATTGGTAGACTAAGTTTACATTTGTTGTTTTAATGAGTAAAGGAGCATAAAGACTGGTCCCTAAACCTCTGAACTCTTTACCAAAGACTTGAGACTGCTGCACCACAGAAACTGCACTTTAGAGTGGAACCAAAGACTGACCTGTGTTTATACAAACATACAAAGATGTCTTTATATCCACACACAGACATGAGAATATGTTATATATGATCTATTTACCTGCGACTGTTTTATCTGATCTATTTAGCTTCGACTAGATCATGCTTTTTTTTTTTTCCACCTTCGTAGAGAAACTCATACAAGGAAACATTTTCTACAGTGAAATTTTGACAGTGCTCTTCCCCACTCATCGGAGGACACGCTCGTCACCGTTTACAATAAAATGTACTTAACGTGTTAGAATCTCTTTTTTTTTTTTCTTCGACATATAGCCTTGAAGTATGGTGAAGTCGGCAGCAGGTATTGGCCTCCTATTCCAAATAATGACCAAGCTCTTGTCTTGAATGAAATAAAACGCTTTCATGTGCCAACAGTTACCCTCCATGTAATCTAGAGAGAGGTTTTTGTTCCCTCACCGCTCAGACAGCTGCTTCCTCGCTGGCAGACACTCGACCTTGAGTCCAACGAGGCGGTTTTGTAGTTACGCAATGCTCACAGTGGGAACGACACCTGGAAAAGTGACAAACTACCACATCCGAGAATGCAGGAGATCACTTCAAGTGAGAGCTACATTAGTTTGTCCAAATCATTTTCTATACTACTAATAAAGTGGATATTTTGGTTCTTTATCAAACTATTGCAACTGTGAACGATGACTGTTTTATTTCTCTCTGACTATACGCAGAGATCTAAAGGCAGGTTTAGATCTTCTGCCAGTTACTTTGATTAATTGTTGAGTCTATAAAACCTGTCATCAAATGGCCGTAACATTTAATAAACAAACATTCAAAGAGGTCCACTTCTATTTAAAACAAATATGAAAGCAGTGAAATCCATATGAGATGGAAACTGGACATCTGGAAAGATTTCCTCTTGGAAAAATAACCTAAAACTTCCCTGCCATGTATTTAATGTTAGCTCTGAAATGATACTGCCAGTAATTTTACATTCATATTATAATTGCTATTAATGGAACTGGAAATCAGTGGATTTATTGAACTACAACCTCTGGGCTAGTACTACAGGAAGGATTTTTACTACGTTACTCCCTTTTTAAGCATGAATAGGAACTCATTTGTCAAGGTTAAGAGGATTATCCTTTCTTAAAATAAAATTAAACCCTTAAATTTTGGGAAATCTACTTAATTGTGTAATAAAATGACAATTCTATGATTTACAGTAACTAAAAACTGTTTTTCTTTTTTTTTTAAAAAGGGTAATAATTCAGTATGCTAGTTTCAGTTTCACTCCATCCATTCTGGAAACTTAAGCTATTTTTCAGTGATAAATCAACAACCACTTAGATGTGTTTTAATTTGATCATAATTACCTGTTCATGCTTACGATACCTCATCGGTGAAGAGCGGAAACTTTACATCTCTACAACCAAAAATAACTAATTTTTGGACAATTAAAATGTTTTGTTTTGCTTTTGTATACCAACTCAGTGGATTTTTAAAATCAAACTAATGTGTGGTTGAAGTGCTGACTTCAGCTCTGAGGTTTAATGAAAAGTAAAGTTGCAAAGTAATTGGACAATTTGCTGCCCAGGTGATGCTTGTTTCCCTATTATTCCATTACAAGTGCAAAACTTGCATTTAGTATTAGTTCACAAGAACTCATGGAGACACTGCACTGAAAGAGGCCATTGCTAGGCTTAAAAAGTCTTGGGTTGGTTTTGCAGTGCTGGCAGGAACGCACAACATTGGTGATCTGATCACTCCAAAAGTTGTTTTTTCTTTTTCTTTTTTTTAAGGTGAAGAAATGTGATATTTGTGAGTCTCTGACTCCGTCACCTGATCTCAACCTAACAGTGCATAATGAGGGCAGAGAGATCCAAAATAAGCAGCAGCTGAAGTTATGTTGCAGTAAAGACCTAGCAGAGAGAGGAATCAGCATTTAGCTATATATGAGTTCTAGACTTCAGGCAGCCATCGACTCCAAAAGATTTTTATCTAAGTGTTAGAAACTAACCTTATATTAAAAATTGTTTGTTTGTCCAATTAATTTTGAGCCTCTGAAAATGGGGGACTGTGTATAAAAATGTCTCATCTCAAGTTTTTTGAATTAAAGCTGAGAGTTTTCCCTTTAGTCACATCTTAATTGTTTGGTTTCCACTGTGTGAAGAAGAAAATCTACTGTATATAATCATTTCAGTACAGTCAGGAATGGATTCTGAACCGATCCGTGAGATTACCGAAGACTCTCGCTGCGTCTAACACAAATAAGATGTTTGTGCGTAGTCAGCTGTGTTACCCGTCGACAATGTGGAGGTGTAACTGTGGTCTTCTAGCAAAGGCCTCTGTAATATAAGAAACAAAGGGATTAGTGTTTGTTGCTTCTTTCAGGTGGTTTTTGAACCTGAGGGTGGAATAAATTCTAAATACCTTAATGGGATTAAGGTCCTCATGTGTGGCTCAGTATCAAAACTCCACTCCTCCAGTGGGATCTTTATTTCAGCCTTAATTAAGCTCATGGGGTTTCACTCATCATTATCATATGTTGTCATTTCGATCTCCCTCTGGGTCATGGACAAGGATTGCAGTTTCCCAGCATGATTCTGTCAAATATAAGCTTGAGGTTTTGTGTGTCATCATTAATAAAGCATAGTTTTTCTCAGTGTTCCCAGGCTAAAGAAGCTTTAACGGGCTCCAAGAAATGTCTCAATAACTGGATACATGTATGAGATTACAAAGGTTTGATACTCCTTCGTGTTCATTACTGCTCTTAGAGCCAGATTTTGTATATTGTAGCTTACTGAACATTTAACAGGGAACATATTTTTGTTAATCCCTTTGTTACACTTTATGGTTCCCAGCAGGGCATTTAAAAAACCCCAGTTTTATGGGTTTGCAAAGTGGATGTACGAGGGAGTCTTACATGGAAGTTGCCAAGGACAAACTGTCCACTGAGCAGCTTTAAAGGAGCAGATGGAGGCGAAATTTATCCTTAGACATATACATATATATGATCAGGTCTGTAACATGCTGCTGTAATTTATTCTCAGTACAAAGTTACTGTGAAGCAGCAGCGTTTACTCACATTTGATAAGGTCTTCCGTTGTGCGCAATGAGTAAGGTGGAAAAACAAAGGACTTAACCCCCCCCCAAAAAATATGGGGAGGCAGGGGGAGAAAAAAAAATCCATTCAGGTGATGACAAAAACCTTAGCTCTATTGAATAGAAACTTATACAGGCAATTCGAGTGATATTACTTACATTAGCCAAATCCTCCATCTGTGAGCCAAATATCGAGTGTTGCAACTCACCGCTCATTTTAAGCCAGTACATGTTCGTATTGTTATAGCAACAAATTAACTATGCTCAAACCTGACAGGATAAATCATAAATATGGTTGATTGTGCTGCTGATGGGAGAAGCTACCCACAGCTTAAAATAATTGGTGGTATAACTGGTCATTATTACAGCCAATCATATAGCAGCAACTCATGGCATGCGTAAGAACACCTGCTGGACTTCAAACAGAGCACCAGATTGGAGAAGAAAGTTGATTTACAACTTTGAACATAGTAGCTGGGTTTTCCCACACAGCCATTTCTAGAGTTTACAAATAATGGTCTGAAAAGGCAAAAAAAAAAAAAAAAAAAATACAGTGAGCGGCAGTTCTCTGGGTAAAAATGGCTTGTTGGCGTCAGAGGAGAAGGACCAGACTGCTTCAAGCTGATAATGAAGGCAACCTTAACCACAGTAACAATAACAACAGTGACCTTTGGGATGTGGTGGAACGAGATTCACATCATGGATGTGCAGCTGACAAATGAGCAGCAACTATGCAATACAATCATTCAATATGTCTGAGAATCTCTGAGAAATGATCCCAGCATCTTGTTGAATCTATACCATAAAGAATGAAGACTCACTCAAAGGGGCCACTCTGTACTTCAAGCATACAATTATGCAACTTTCAGCTTGTCTCTTAACACTATAGTCACACAGCCAAAGTCTAACATGCAATTCTCCCACTATCTAGTGCCAAACAGAGAGAGAGGGAGAGAGAGAAAGACAAAAAAGTGGTCTTTTACCAATGCTGCAGTGAATCACGTCACTTTGCGCTTTAACAGAATAATTGTAGGTTTCAACTCTGTGCAAAAAGAAAAAAAGAAAATAATCAGCATCTTGTAAAGAACGCTTTCTCATTTTACCAATCAGGCTAAAAAATAAATAAACTAAAATAAAAATTTAGAAACAAGCTTACCACAGATGTCCCCCCCCCATCTGGAATACTATAATGTACCAGAAATGCATAAAATTACCTTGGCGTAACCGGCTCGCAAACACTGAGTGACAGCGCCTAGTTTGTGGGAGCTCAAACCACAAGAAATGTACAACAATCCCTTCCTCACTAACTAAAGTACAGCCCAAAACTTCCATCTTGATTCATCTGACCAATCTAGGTTACATCAAAATATATACATATATACCCACGGCAGAGATATAAAGCAAATTTAGAAACGCATGGTAATTCATATACTGTACTGCATTGTACAAACACAAAGTAACACATTGGCAGCAAAAATAAGCAGGAAAAGACAGCTATGAAAACCACATTTTTCATTTTTATTTTTCAATGTTGAATACCTTTGACAGGACTTTAAGAATGGAAACGTTATTTCAGTCAATAACTGCCTCAGAAGGATATACGATTTGTATAGTAGTAGTAGCAATAATAATAATAATAACAATAATAATTAATAATAATAATAATAAGTCTGTATTTGTATTGTGAGATCAAGACAAATGTACAAGAAGGAGGCACCTATATCCCCAGCTGGGCCTGAACATTCCAACACAAGTAGAAGAAATTACAAACCGAACAGATTTTACTTCAGAGGCAATCCAGCAACAGGTAGCAACGTCTTTATGATGGAAGTTCTTTCCTTTTTTGTTTAAAAGGATTTAAAACGACATTTACAAGACACCTAACATTCCATTCAATTCCTATTAAAAACAGAAGTAGAAGGAGGGAGGGGGGAGAGAGAGAGAGAGATATTATTCTTTTGAGTGCTTCTTGCCCATGGTTAACTCTAGGTGCATCTTCCATGTTGACTGATAGTATACAACTTTCATTGTCCCACCACACTGGATATCTGGATTATACAGGCAAAGAAAAAAAACAAAACAAAGAAGAAGGGAGAAAAAAAAAAGGGGGGGAGCAATCGCTTTTTGTCGCCTTTCCTCACTCAACTCTGTGCATACTAACTGTGTGAGATTGTAAAAAGGCGGCGCCTTCAAATGATACTGTACAGATGTGTTCACTGTAGGCCACACTACCAATGATATGGCAAAAGTCAACAGAAAGACTTCTCGGTTTTTCCAGGCCTTTTTCCTTTTCTTTTTTTTCCGTTTTTTTTTTTTTTTTTTTTTAAATTCCAGAGCCGATGCGTGGGATACGGCTGGCATGCTTCTCCCAGTCTACAAGATGAACTTCCCTATGAAAAATCCGATGAAGATGGCTGCTATGACAACGAGGAGGGATGGTAGGGAGGCGGCGCTGGCTTCCCGACCGAGCAGGCTGGTCGAGTTTGGTGTCATGTGGTCTGAGCGGGGCATCTTTCTCATTCTCAAACCTTCGTCCTGTGTAAAGAACAGAAAACAAGTAAAGAAGAGGAGTGAATAAGGTAATAAGATTAGTAAAACACAAGCAGGTTTACAGAAATTCTCAAACTTCGAGCCCAGACTTGCAGTTTTCTGTCCCAGTGACTACTGTACTTAAACTCATGGTTCACTCCCCATTGTTGAGAGACGGGCTACGAAATAAGCAACCACAATATTCCAACATGGCAGTCGAGCTGGAGGATTTCATAGTGATACTAAGGAAGGAACAATGATGTACATGTAAACAGAGAGAAAAAAGGTGTCCAGCGTCCTGCTGGGCTGCTGTAACACCATCTCCAAGGTCAAAAAAGTTACATTTGCAACTTGGATGCTCATGTTGAGCTTGTTCAGCCTTTTAACATATGTACTCTAAGACACACTTTCCAAGGCCATTCCCCTCATCTCACACAGTGAGAGAGCAGATGCTGAAAATCTGTTCTTATTTCTTTGCAAAGCTCTCTGCAGAGCAGAGAGGTCACCAATGACAACTGAAACTGTCAGAAAACTGAGAAATTTCTTTTTACTTTGTGACCTCACTGTGGAGAAGGCAGTGTAATTTTCCTACTTCTAAGTACAAGAGCATCAAACTAGATGCACATCCTGTCATACTCTGTAGAGATGCCAACAAGTCAGCCAATAGTTCAGCGGTCCCCAACCCCCGGGCCTCGGACCGGCACGTGAGTCGTTTGGTACCGGGCCGCGAGAGTTGAGGCTCAGGTGTG